CGCTTACTCATTTTTTTTGTCCAAAACTCCTCAGACGCGCTTCATCGTGATGTCTCAAAATCCAAACAAAAGGCACGACCCCTCAAAACACGACAGCTACCGATGTACAGCACTGGTGGATGAAGTGAAAGGAATCCTACGATGAAAATATTGGAGAAGTTGCCTTTACAGTGGTTCGGTGGTATTCATTCAAGGTGCCAGAAGAAACATTATCAATATGTATTCTGTCTTTTTTCACAATGGAAGCATAAATAACACCCGTAATTGACCACACGTCTGTCTCACTCAATGCAGCAATGTGTAATTTCAACAGAAAGTGGCTGGCTCAAAGGGAAACCCAACAACCGGCAAACAATATTAAGTGCAACGAAAAAGCAAAAATGTGAATCAAGGTACATTTATTTCCTTTAACTACCTATCTATCTATCTTCCTAAACATTAGTCTGCTCTCGAACACACCACCTGCCAGAGATGGAGCGAGCACATAACGCCCGTGTTCAATTGATCCAATTGCAGCATGGCTACCAATGTCACATCTATAGTGATTGGACAATAGCATAGATTTCGTTTATAACAAGCAACGCTATTGGCTAGACGTCCAGGGCGATCCCCCGATGCTGAGTAGAGCAGTCGTTCACCGACGGCGCGGATCTCCAGAAGGGTATTCCAGCACAATGGGGTTGCCCTAAAGCAGTCCACATCATTGCATGTGATTACCTTTCTTGGATGAGTCATCCAGTTGTAGACTACTTGAGAAGTGGGACTCAACAGTTTTCAATGTGAGGCTATGGTGGAATACACTTCCAGTATAAAAAAATGTCACGTTTTTTAATGCTCTGTTTATTAAAGCTATAGGGTGTCTGATAGCTCAGACTAATATAATTTAAAAAACCAAGAATAGGCTACTTACTTCTGAAATGACTTGTATCTATCTTTATTGACCACCCTACCTTCATTGATAGTCTGGTTAGCTATGCACAATTTGGCACATGACATGGAGTACAAGGAATGGAGTGGAATATTAGCTAAACAGACTGGCAACCACCCACTGGGCACACACTGGTTGTATCAACATTGTTTCCACGTCATTTCAACTGACTCAGAAATGTATCTGAGAGAGAGAGAGAGAGAGAGAGAGAGAGAGAGAACAGAGTTCATACTCCTCCTGTCCTTCATCAATGTCAGGCTGACCTATATCCATTACTAACACCTATTACCTGCAGACAGTGGCTATTGTCCGGTGTGTCTCTATTGTCAGGTCATGTGAGTAGTAGGCTAGACCTAAATAATACCTTATTTCCAGGAAGTCAAGGAACACACTATTCCATTCCATTCTCCCCTGAAAACACTGTTCTAAGAACCACCTCTACTTACATTCCTATTCAACTTTTTTTTTGTCTTATGCAGGAGAGCTGGGGGACAAGGCTGAGTTGTACCATGGCAACAGTCAGGGTGAATGCCAGTTGAGGGGCATAATGAGTACCCCTCTGGCCTCTCCTCCCCTCCCTCCCTCCCTCCCTCCCTCCCTCTCTTCTACGGCACTCTCAATGCAATTCCACACAATCACACTCCCTGCGAGGTCCTACGTCTTTTCCAGGCAACTGAAGCAACATTGTGCCAAATCACTCACCCTCAGCGAAGACTAGGCACATGATAGTAGAACCCCATATCACCCTTAGGCAAGGACACGGCAATCCAGCCCCATTAGGTTAGATTAGATATCAACTGGTGACGTTCTAATGGGTCAGAATGACTGGGCCTAGCTGTGGTGATTAATGAGCTGCATTTTTCATACACATTTCAAAAAGTGTAGTTGAAGTTGGTGTTGATTTGGTCGTTTTACAAAATGTTTTCAACAAACCACTCCACCACTCTAAAATTACATAAGTGTGTGCATGCATGTGTGTGTGTGTACACACTCCCATGAGTGTGACTGTCTGTGGGAATGGGTAGGAAAACATTTCAGTTAATTCATTCTTCCAACAGTCCCTTTATAGCACAAACATATTGGTCCCTAAGCAGATATGCTTAGCTGCATCAGTCACTTGGCAAGCCCAGGGGGCGCTAAATATAGAGCATGGAGTCCAGGGACAGGTGAGTTGCATACCTGCTGATTCCCCAAGCAGCTACAAAAAGTGGCATTCCTTATATAACATGTTCAGATGTAATAAGACCACACGTTTAATTTGACTAGACTAGAACAATAAAAATAGCAATTTTTTTTAAGGAAATGAACCGTTAATAAAATGTGAATCCTTCATGCCAATCTATTGTTTTCTATGGACTTTCAACACCATAAACAATAAATTACAACTGTGATATGCCACTCCTTGAAAGAATCACTGGTTTGATAACTTTCCCCAATCTAAATTCTAAGATACAATATTACAATCATTAGTCTTTATATACATGGAGCTGAGGTGAAAATTATTTATATTGTTACGGTAAACTTTGTGTCCACCGGCAAACCCTTTTTGGAGCAAAGTTTTTACCCCATCATGTTCATCTGTAAAATCTGCATGTATGTATCGCCATCTTGTGGAGGTAGAGCATTCATGCAGGAAAAATACATATTTTCTTACCTTTCTTCTATCTTCCAGTAGGTGGTACTCTTGTGTCACTGAATACAGAGGCCTTGTGAAAACCATGGTGGAAACCTATCAAGCCTACTGAACAGATAGTACAGTCGTGGTCAAACGTTTTGAGAATGACACAAATATTTAATTTTCAAAAAGTCTGCTGCCTCAGCTTTTATGATGGCAATTTGCATATACTCCAGAATGTTATGAAGAGTGATCAGATGAATTGCAATTAATTTCAAAGTTCCTCTTTGCCATGAAAATGAACTTAATCCCAAAAAAACATTTCCACTGCATTTCAGCCCTGCCACAAAAGGACCAGCTGACATCATGTCAGTGATTCTCTCGTTAACACAGGTGAGAGTGTTGACGAGGACAAGGCTGGAGATCACTCTGTCATGCTGATTGAGTTAGAATAACAGACTGGAAGCTTTAAAAGGAGGGTGGTGCTTGAAATCATTGTTCTTCCTCTGTTAACCATGGTTACCTGGAAGGAAACATGTGCTGTCATCATTGCTTTGCACAAAAAGGGCTTCACAGGCAAGGATATTGCTGCTAGTAAGATTGCACCTAAATCAACCATTTATCGGATCATCAAGAACTTCAAGGAGAGAGGTTCAATTGTTGTGAAGAAGGCTTCAGGGCGCCCAAGAAAGTCCAGCAAGCGCCAGGACCGTCTCCTAAAGTTGATTCAGCTGCGGGATCGGGGCACCACCAGTGCAGAGCTTGCTCAGAAATGGCAGAAGGCAGGTGTGAGTGCATCTGCACGCACAGTGAGGCGAATACTTTTGGAGGATGGCCTGGTGTCAAGAAGGGCAGCGAGGAAGCCACTTCTCTCCAGGAAAAACATCAGGGACAGACTGATATTCTGCAAAAGGTACAGGGATTGGACTGCTGAGGATTGGGGTAAAGTCATTTTCTCGGATTAATCCCCTTTCCGATTGTTTGGGGCATCCTGAAAAAAGCTTGTCCGGAGAAGACAAGGTGAGCGCTACCATCAGTCCTGTGTCATGCCAACAGTAAAGCATCCTGAGACCATTCATGTGTGGGGTTGCTTCTCAGCCAAGGAAGTGGGCTCACTCACAATTTTGCCTAAGAACACAGCCATGAAGAAAGAATGGTACCAACACATCCTCCGAGAGCAACTCCTCCCAACCATCCAAGAACAGTTTGGTAACGAACAATACCTTTTCCAGCATGATGGAGCACCTTGCCATAAGGCAAAAGTGATAACTAAGTGGCTGGGGGAACAAAACATCGACATTTTGGGTCCATGGCCAGGAAACTCCCCAGACCTTAATCCCATTGAGAACTTGTGGTCAATCCTCAAGAGGCGGGTGGACAAACAAAAACCCACAAATTCTGACAAACTCCAAGCATTGATTATGCAAGAATAGGCTGCCATCAGTCAGGATGTGGCCCAGAAGTTAATTGAAAGCATGCCAGGGCGGATTGCAGAGGTCTTGAAAAAGAAGGGTCAACAATGCAAATATTGACTCTTTGCATAAACTTAATGTAATTGTCAATAAAAGCCTTTGACACTTATGGAATGCTTGTAATTATACTTCAGTATACCATAGTAACATCTGACAAAAATATCTAAAAACACTGAAGCAGCAAACTTTGTGAAGACCAATACTTTACCTTATCTTTCACCATCCTCTCAGACAGTCATCGACCAGTTGACACTATTACTATTCCACCCAGACACCTCAGTATCCTGCAGTATAGTAGACCTAGTAGACCAGGTAACCATGTTAGGGCCACTGGCGGCCAGGCCTGCTGAAATGCGAGCCCATGACTATCTGCCTGTATGTTTTATTAATCTCATCCACTGATCTAGTCCTCCACAGAGCAGACACCTGACTCCACTGACCTGTCTGCCTCTCCCAGGGACGACTGAAGCACTGGAGCTGACGGCCTGGACAGAGGAACAGGTAGGAAAGAAAGGAACGGGAAAGTCACACAGAGAGAGAGAGAGAGAGAGAGAGAGAGAGAGAAGAATAACTGCGGACAAATGCAGAGTGTGTGTTTGGCAAAAATTTATCTTAAGTCTTTTGAGTTCTGTTGTTTGTTTTTTGAGGTCTTAGTCCATGTTTCAACACTAAGGTGACAGGTTCTCTGATTTTGGTGTTCTCTGATGAATTTGGACAATGTATTTAGTGACTCTTGGATCGAATAGAGTGTTGGAGATAAAACATTGTGAGGGGGAGGTTTGGGAAACAATTGAACTGTAGGTTCCCTGTGTTTTTTTTTCTTTCTTACTATTTATAACAGTTCTATCAATAATGAATAGAGATGCTATGTGAACAGTATACCATTACTGGTAGATCAGTGGATCAGCCAAACAACCGCACAGTCATCAGGTATCATAGGAAAATCATTGTGGTTGATGTGTTGTGCAGGTAATGGTGAGAGAAGATGTCGGAGCAAAGGCAACGTTCCCTGTCCACCTCAGGAGAGGCCCTCTACCTAGTCCTGGGCCTCGACAAGACCTGTACACCGGATGACATCAAGAAGTCCTACAGGTACACACACACACACACACACACACACACACACACACACACACACACACACACACACACACACACACACACAAAATCCTTGCTCCTTGTGTGTTTGTGCATGTGCAACCCATTTAAAGATGTAGTTGTTGTCTTGAAGCGAGGACCCACCATTTGGAGTCATTGGCTTTGTAGAGTACCAGACAAACAACAGATAACAGATAACTTTATGCCTCAATGGAGAAACTGGACTGCATATTACATCACTGAAAGCAAACCTTCAGCATGTTGACCCATATAAAATGTTTCATCCATATAACTCGAAATAATGTAATGCTATTGGATTTTTGTTTGTATACAAAGATCCTTTTCTCCATCGAAGCAGGTTATACATTGATCTGTAACCATGCAAAACAAATGTCATGTAACAACCAATGGTTGTCTATGGAGGTCAGAGGGAATCATTTTAATGGGACGTTTTTCAGGAGAAATGTGGCACAAATGTAGAAAAATAATAACTTTGTGACACAGACAGTGACTGACTGTTACAAGACCTTTTATAATCACAGCCAGTGATTGTCAGACAGCTGCATGAATACAATATGACTTCCATAAAACTAAAATATTAATACTACAGAACAGATGGTACCCCTCGTTGTACTCAGTTCATATCAAGTGTGTGTGTGTTTGTGTGTGTGTTTGTGTGTGTGTGTCCCACACACAAGCGTGGGTGTACTTGGAAGCTTGTCACAACCTGTTGGGAATTGTATGACCCTAGCATTATGGCAGCAGACAAATTGCTATGTACCCACACAACAAGTACTACCTCAACCTTACAATAAAATAGCAGGACAGACTTCCTATAACATGGAGAGCTGCTGATAAAAACTCACTGGTCTCAGTACTCAATCTTAATATGGTTATTGTGTTTTAATGTTAGTATGACAGAGGCCTTTGATGCTTAGACCTAATCAAAATCAATTTTCTTAACCCAAGCCGTTGTCAATTATATTTGATCATGTAATTATACATTTGAATGTAGATTTTGTTTAGGATAACTATTTTATCCTATAACCTATATTTCAGTCAAAGTATGCCTGTCAAACCCTTGTTCATACCTTGACTTCTCTCTCATTCACCAATACATTTCCATTAGAGGCATTCCAACATGTAGTAAGTCAGAATCTAATGACTTATAATATAAATTCACTTCAGACTCAAGTCATACACATGCCATCACAATTAGTAGTTATTAATTAATTGCTCTAATTGGAATTCACTTTCAGGAACCATCCAAATGGTTAGTGTTTGAACAGCCCTTGTTTGTTGTTAATGAATATGTAATCAAAGCAGCGTTTTCAGAGCCTCTTGGCTTCATTAAAAATGAACAAGCAGACGTGCTTCGGAGCATCATGAAATGTTGATGAGAAATTATAATTTACAGCAAAAAAGAGAGACAGAAAAAAAGAAATTATGTAAAACTGACTGTAGTTATATTTATTTAATGGTGTCCGTCAACCAAGGGTTCCAATGGACCTAATGCCAAAAAAACAGTAACAACTGCAGTTGAAGCCAAAATCGCAGACTGGTACACCATGTATAGTACTGGGCACCAGCATTTAGCTCAGTGTTTCAGTTCACTATATACTGTAGGTTAAATATTTACACATTCTCAAGCCTGACTTAGAAGATTTTAAATTGTGCTATACACGCTATTACAACTTGTTTTTGGCTTATTGAACTAATGTACCAATGCCTGGCAGGTGTGTGTGTTGATGGGTGTGAGGGATGAGGGTTCTGACCCCACTTTTGTCCCTAGGTGCTGACTGGATCTGATTTACAGGTCTTCAGAGTGTAAACAGGAATGCATTTAGTGATACACCTCCCCCCTCAGAATACACTGAAACATGGGGAAAGATCTAAACTTGGAACTGGGAGATAATACTGACGCCTCTTACTGAAGGCATTAGAAAAGACCATAAAGTAACAAGAATTTCGGAGTGCATCATCTTTTCAATTTCGTAATATTTATTCCTATTTAGAAAACTTGCTTTGAAATATCATCCAGACAAGAACCCAGAGAACCCGAACGCCACAGATAAATTCAAGGAGCTCAATAATGCCCACTCCGTGCTGTCCGATGCCTCCAAGAGGAACATCTACGACAGCTATGGCTCCCTCGGTCTGTATGTGGCACAGCAGTTTGGAGAGGAGAACGTCAACGCTTATTTCATGCTCTCCAGTTGGTGGGCAAAGGTGGGTTTCGCCACCTAGAAATTGTGTGTGTGTGTGTGTGTGTGTGTGTGTGTGAAAAAGGAAATCTAGTCTATGTTCATGTGTTAATAGTGAATGGTCTATGTCCATCCCCCACACAGGGTCTGTTTGCGGTCTGCGGCGTGCTAACAGGCTGCTACTTCTGCTGCTGCCTGTGCTGCTGTTTTAACTGCTGCTGTGGGAAGTGTAAACCCAAAACTCCTGGAGAGGAGGACCCCGACACCTACGTGTCCCCTGAAGACCTGGAGGAGCAGATCCGCACAGACATGGAGACAGGTGAGCAAATAAAATAGAATTGTCACATGCGCCGAATACAACAGGTGTAGACTTTACCGTGAAACCAACCCTTTCCCAACAATGCAGAGTTAAAAAATGAAGAAAATTAGCACAAAAAAAAGAGGAAACAGTAACACAATAAAATATACAAGGGGTACCGGTACCGAGTCAATGTGCTGGGGTATGAGGTAGTTGAGGTGATTGAGGTAATATGTACATGTAGCTAGGGATAAAAGTGACACAGCACAGTTACAATGTTCAGGGTTTCATAACAGACAGATAAGGTGAGCCCCACTGAGAAGGATGAAGTTGCCCTTTGACACTGATCTGAGGTCAGTGTTGCATTTCATCTTCCTAATGGATACAGTTAGGACTCTGGGATGGTAAGCTGATCCTAGATCTGTGCCTAAGGGCAACTTATACCCTGAGCAAGCCTCACACACTATCTCTCACTGCTTCAGAATTAGCCTATAGCTCGCAGTTGTATTATCCATCTGTTGAAACAACAGCAGCAACCCCCTTAATAAGCTCTGCCTACATCACTCTCCTACCCTATCAATACTACCTCATCTATTAAAGGAAAAGCATTTGATGCTGCAATGTGACTTTGATGCTAGAGCACAAAGACAGTGGAATGGCACAGACAAGCTTTAAATGTTTTCTCAAATGCACCAAGTCAGCCAGTTAATGAAAATAAATGTACTTGATATATTTGTGCCAGATGTTTGGATATGATACATTGCTCTGGTGCCAGTTAGCTGTGGGAGGGTGGGGTGTGTGTGTTTTTTCCCCATGTCTCTGCAGTTCTCCAACACAACTGATAATTACTGCCTCTGACTCAGGTCTCTGAATGTGTTTCCATAGCAGTTATTTTGAGCCCCATCTCATGATTCATGGGAAACAATGGCCTTGGTTTCAGGCACTCACTGCAAAGTCTCAGCCCCCATGGGGGGATGATGAGATGGCCTACTCATGTATTTGGCTTCGGAACACATTGCTTATGATCACATATTTATTGTGAGAATTTATCAATATGAATTGGACCTACTACTGTAGGCATAGCCCATGGTAATTGAACTGATTAACGGGGACTTTATAACCAAAGTTGTAAAACTGCCCTTCAAGCCAGCCATGCTGTGACACAGTGTGCCCAGTCTGTGGTGCCAAAAGGACAACCAGCAGCAGGAGGCAGGAGGCTTGACACATGTAGCCGTCACCTCCTCACGACAGGACAGTCAAGACATCCCCCAGTCTCAACAGGAACAGCTGTACTATAGATAGTGTACTAGGCCTATTTTTAGGAAGATTTTGGATATGCCATATTTTCTTAGTTCTGTGCAACATACTGTAACAACGTAAACGGATGCACTGATGAACTGATCTTACCCTCTCCAGACGCTGACGACGTCCCCATAATACAGCAGCCAACCAATGCAAGCGAGAAGACCGGGTTGATTGGTGACGGACGACGGGCCTATACCTAACACAACTGAGAAGAACGATCAGAGGACTGGTGATGTCATAGGGATTACAGAACTGGCATTAAATACGTGTCTTTGAGTATTTGTTATTTGAATACTTATTTTCTGTGTATTTGAGTATTTTCAAATAATGTGGCTCGAATCAACTACAACTAAGTATTTAAAATTATTTTCAAATAATTTCCTATAAATAGCCTACTATTTGAAAGTATTTTCAACTTATTTCAAAAACTATTTTCAAATACCTGGGTTAAATGCAAGGGAGTGTATTTGAGTCTGTTTATTTCAGTATTTTCAAATACTTGCCTTTTCAAATAAAACATCTACTTACTTCCAAATGTATTTTAAAGTAATTGAAATACCCTAAATAGTATTTCAACCCAGGGGATTTATTCATTGACGTGGTAGATCTCAGAAGGGTTCCAATTACATTCCACCCCTTGACTACACTTTGTAAATTCTGAATGAGTGTTAGTTTGTGTGCATTGTGTTTTGTGTTTGTTTGTTATTTCTTCTGAACAAAATACAAAGTAGCCCTAGTATTGTGCGTTTAAAAGTGTGGTTGTGAAAGAATTGAGAGATTTAAGTGTTTTGTCAAGTTAGCAATAAAGACTGCCCTTTTTGAAATGTTACTTTAGCATCTATTGTTTAAATCACATTGCACGTTTACAAACATGTAGATATGATATACATCAGCGTGTATCAATTGCTACAGTTTCACAAATCAGGTAAGAAAAAATGTCCTCCTTCGAGCCGGATTTGAACCAGCGACCTAAGGATCTCTATATTGCCTCTACAGTCCTCCGCTCTACCAACTGAGCTATCGAAGGTGATACATGCAATGACGGCGCAGCGGGCTATTTATATGCTAAAGTGGTTCTCTGGCTAGCATTCTAGATAAATTATGTAGTTTATTTTCTGTCATTAATTAATTTGGGTTAAATAAAATATATTATTAGACTACATTTTCAATCACTAAATCTCTTATTTGACAACATTTGAGCAGTCACATATTTAAATGAAGTATAAAAACAAACGAGCTATCTAGCAATGCACATAGGTAGCTAGTTACAGTAGCTAGCTAGCTAACGACTTTCAAACGCATTCGACACACTTAGCTAGCTAGCACATAGTTCTCTTTGTAGCTAGCTAGCATGAGTCAAATCAAAGATAATGTGGCCATGAATAACCTAAAAGCATGCTAGCTGTAACTATAATTTACCATTGTCAATGCCTACATTTTCCATAGAAGTTAGCTAGCAACAATGTTACTTTGTGAGCTGGAGACTGCCAGTGCCACCTATGTGAAGCTAGCCACAATAAGGATTAGCCACAATAGTGGAATTTGCCGTTCGCCTTGAAAATAAAAGTCCCTCATTGAAAGTGATGCAAATAGATACTATTACAAACAGTGGTGGAAAAACTACCCAATTGTCATATTTGAGTAAAAATAAAGATATCTTAATAGAAAATGACTCAAGTGAAAGTCACCCAGTAAAATCCTACCAGTAAAATTATTTGGTTTTAAATATACTTAAGTATCAAAAGTAAAAGTATAAATCATTTCAAATTCCTTATATTAAGCAAACCAGACGACACCATTTATTTTAATTTGTTTATTTACAGATAGCCAGGAGCACGCTCCAACACTCAGACATAATTTACAAACAAAGCATGTGTTTAGTGGGTCTGCCAGATCAGAGGCAGTAGGGATGACCAGGGATGTTCTATTGATAAGAGTGTGAATTAAACAATTTTCCTGTCCTACTAAGCATTCAAAATGTAACGAGTACTTTTGGGTGTCAGGAATGTATAGAGTAAAAAATACATTATTTTATGAAGCTAAAGTAAAAGTTGTCAAAAATATGAATAGTAAAGTAAGGTACAGATACCCAAAAAAACTACTTAAGTAGTACTTTCAAGTATTTGTACTTAAGTACTTTACACCACTGATTACAAATAGTGGAATCATGTCATATTTGGACTAATCCTAAACTAGTTTGGAATGTTGTTAAATAAATGCAACAAAATACAATAATTAGTTAATTTCACACAAAAAAAGTAAAATATGAGCTACAACACTAATTTATGTGTAATCTCTTCACAGTTGTGTTCTGTGGGTGTCACTGAGTAGACTGATACACCATTTAATTGATCCACAATCCATAGGTAATGCTGTACAGTGCAATTTGAATGTCAATACACACAATAGGCTGACTGGGGAGGTGATTTCCCACAGTCAAAGTCCCATAATAACAGCTACTGCGCTAATATTTGTGGAAACTCTTCACAACTGTGTTCTCTGGGTGTTACTGAGAAGACTGGTACTTCATTGAACCACAATCCTTAGGTAAGGCTGTACAGTGCAATATGAATGTCCAAAACACATATAGTAGGTTGACTGTTAAGCTTAATGTGGCTCATTTCACGGTGGTTTCAGTCCTGAGCTATGACGCTATATATATATATTTGTGTAATCTCTTCATAGTTGTGTTCTGTGGGTGTCACTGAGTAGACTGATACCCCATTTCATTGATCCACAATCCATAGGTAAGGCTGCACCATGCAATATTAATGTAAATATGCATAATATGCTGACTGGGGAGGTTATTTCCGGGGAGGGTTCCATGAGGGGGCAAAAGGGGGCTTAGCCCCCTCAGTTGAAACTTGTGCCCCTCAGTTTTAGTTTTATGTCCTTCTATAAAATGATTGAGTGACAGGTTTACGCAAAATCTGTATCTCCACTGTGCTGTGTCAGCACAATGGACAGAGGGCGCCACAATGTGTGTAGGGGGCTATGGAAAGCCACTGGGGCGGTTAGGTATGACTCCTTTGGGTTTCCATAAAAAGCAGGAAAAAACGCTTCTCATCTGTGGAAGGCTAAGTGAATAACATGATATGCCTGTAATATTTCATTTTGATTTATAAGGGCGGGGTCAAGTTTACAGTTGAAGCTGCAACACTCAACTCAGCATCACACCCCACCTCTACCGAGTTTAGTTAGCTTCTTAGCTCGCTGTAAAAAGCGCTAGTCTTATTAGGCTTAGCCTATTTAGCTAGCTCGAACCAGCTAATCTGCCACTGCCACAATCAATATCAGAAATTGGCTTCTCCAAAGTACCCAAACAGAGCCAAAGGACAAGGGGACACCTGTCTTCTGTCTCAGTGGTTGTTAAAAGTTGTGACAGCATTGTGAAGGTCCTCTCTGACATCAAATGCACGCGTTCGTACAACACAGAAGTAAGACCCAAGGCTACAGGGCTGCTGAAGGCAGTGACAGAACCCGGCTTTAAGTTTACAGCCACCATGGTGCAATGAATCCTCAGTCTTCTCAATCCTCCAAACTAATTGCTCAAGGCAAAAGCAACAGATCTTTACACTGGAGTCAAAGTCGTCCGTAGTGCGTTTGAGTGCGCCGAGAAGCCATTTGGGCGCAGTTTAGTGCCAAGCAAACAACAAAGTAATGTATGTAGGGGATGTAGCTCAGTTTGTAGAGCATGGCGTTTGCAACGCCAGGGTTGTGGGTTTGATTCCCACGGGGGGTATGAAAAAAAAAAATGAAAAAAAGTGATGTATGCACTAACTGTAAGTCGCTCTGGATAAGAGTGTCTGCTAAATGACTTAAATGTAAATGTATAAATATGCAGCAATATGTGGTGGACAGTACAGTAGGCCAGCAGGACAGAGGAGAAGAGACTGAGTGTAAAAGACTGTTCTATGATGCCGTCATTGGTGAAATGTCAGAACGATTCAGTGAAAGCAACAGCCAACTGGTGGAGGCCCTGTGTGCCCTTGACCCAGAGAACCATGACTTTCTATATGTGAAAAGGTCGTGGAAATCACTGCTGGATCAAAGCAAAACAGATTTGGTGGAAGCTGAGTTTAGTGTCGCTCGCCAGTTTTTGCAGACTGAAATCACCCACTCCGGCTCCAATGAGGACAAATGTACCCCACTTGATATCCTGCAATGATTCTCTGGGCCTCTCTCCGCTATGCCAACCATGCTTACTGCACTGACACATGGATTGACTTTTGGGGCGTCCACAGCTACATGCGAGAACTCCTTTTCCACTTTGACAAACGTGTTCAGTCAGCACAGAAGAAGCAGGGGGATCTTACAAGAAGATTTAGGGGAGAATGGGATGATCGATTACTCAGAAAGTTTCACAGAGCATCAAAGAGGCTGCAACGCTTCTGAAAAGGTAAGAAACAATCTAGCTGTGATTTTTATTTTTTATTTTTGTTTTTATTTTTATTGTTATTTTTTACCCCCCTTTTGGTATAGCATGATATAAGCAGAATTCAATATAATTGTGCCACATCACAACGTGTTGATGAACTCATGAGAGCCATGATTTTCCATGTTTGAAGAGGGCCTATAGGCCTATTAATTTGGCAAGCCAGCTGTGCATGGCTGCATCTCACTGTAATAATATAATAATAATATGCCATTTAGCAGACGCTTTTATCCAAAGCAACTTACAGTCGTGCGTGCATACATTTTTGTGTATGGGTGGTCCCGGGGATCGAACCCACTACCTTGGCGTTACAAGCGCCGTGCTCTACCAGCTGAGCTACAGAGGACCACAATACTGTAGTAGGCTGTAGGCTATGTTTTGGTTATTTGGATCTCCATTCCCCTTTTGTTTACTGCGTTTGTTTACTGTTAATGTAACTAGCCTAAATCTAGATTTTTACATGCCATTATTAAGCTGATATTTTGTTTACGAGGCCTACTTGGTACCGCTGTTTTGTTTTGTTCACATTCATTTGTTTGCATTCATTTGTTCGCATATATTTGTTCGCATTCATTTGTTCGCATTCGCAGTCGTGTCAGTATTCTAAGCCAAATTGCTATCCAGTATTTTTGTTTGCATGCATTAATAACTAGGCTACTACTTTCAGCATTTAGTTTGCATTATTTTGGTAAGACAGCTGTGTTTACGGCTGCATTCACATAGGCTGTTTGTAATACTCTAGGTGAATTACCCTATCTATCTTGT